GAGAGAGAGAAGGATTTTGACATAATTATTATTCTTCTGTCTGTTCCGTTTCTAAATTAGACATAAGTATAAATTATAGCGCATAAAAAGTGTATTTCTACATGGTTTAGTTTTAATAAGATCTGTTCTACATCGTCTTCACGTTAACATATATGGGCAGTTTTGTTTACGTCGCAAATACTCGATGCCTTAAAACGAAATACGGTCAACACTTTTTGTTACTGCATTTTGTGGCAACAAACTTCACACATTAGCAAAAATAATTTGTAAAAATAAAATTGTTCCTCCTTTCTGAAAATAAATGCGATTCCTTAAACTTTGACTCACTTGCATCTAAACAATATCGGACAACATTTTCCGGTTCTGGACGGGATATGTTTTACACTTTTTTCACTTCTTTTGGGCTTCTTCCATAGCATAATGCATATTAATAAAAAAAATTGGTTCTGTCGTACTAGTTTAGGAAATTTTTTCGATATTATGCTACTCCCGATCTAGCCTATGTTAATGTCCATTGCCCCGGATAAAATTAACTAAAAGAGCACTTTTCCTAACTAAGAAGCTTTCTCAGGATTAAATCCACTCAGTGCATCAAAATAACATGACCAAATATATGCTTAATTACCAAGCCAAATTTCATCATGACCATTGCATGAATTCGTAAACATACTGTGTAAGGAGGTGGGCTTTCCTCAAACTTATCCTGTTTACTATCGCAAAGAAGGGCCCAGCTTTGGCATTGTCTATCCTATTCCTTATGCAGTGTGGAATGTCTTAGAATACCTTATTCGTTTTCCCATTAGTCGACTTGCCTTTCATGCAATTTTGTTCATAGCGAACAAGGAGAAAATCTATTCGAAGTCAGGTTAGTTTAGTTTGAAAGTTTTCCCAAAGTACGCAGAATATTTATTCGTTGATATTTGGATATTTCACACGTACCATTTTCGGGATGATCTACCCGTCGCAGTTTTGCGGAACTCTGCAAAAGCGTGCTATTCGCTGATTGGCTACCTCCTCTTGGTCATCGTTTATTATTATTATATCATAATAGAATGATTGCTGTTCATCTCTTATTCGTTTTCACTGTTGGTTTTTTAAATTTTATTATTGTAAATTGCTTTTGTTTCACTTCTTTTTCTCTGTTTGTTTTCAGTTTTTAGTTTGCTTTTTACTATTCTTTTGTTTACTGTTTTAGATAGGGCTTCCTGGCCAGGCCGCTTTTGTCGATGTTAAAACCATATAATAATCATTTAAAAAAGCAGAAACCTCCTGAAAAATACTAAAGTCACTTTAACATTATAAGTAGGCCAACTTTCCACTGATTTTCTCGCTTTTGTCGGTGGAAAAGTCGGGCTACTGAAAATGTTAAAGGGCTTTTAGTTATAAGTCAAAGATAAAAGCGGCCTCACATGAAGGCCCTTCCTAAACAGTTAAGTCTGCAGTTTATTTCTGGTCGTAGGTACACTGGGGTTTTGTAACGGGTGTTTCGGTTGCATTTCATCCACTTTTACATTTTCGTGCTTCCGCTGTAAATTTTACGAAAAAAAACAGGATGGCAAACTTGGCACATGTCGTCTTTAGATTGCTACCACTATCGTTCCTAGTCTGGTTCTGCTCTCGTCATGAAATCATGCGGCCTCTTAGTAGCGCGCTGTAGTCAGCTTTGTGTTGTTTGCCTTAATGATGGATTTCGGAAGTCGTCGTCCAGAGCTTGTAATTGGGCGGTCAGTTATCTTGAACAGCAAATAGTAGTCACTATAGATAGAGAAGGAGAAGGCGTTTCTATCACCGGAATCATAATTTTATTCGGCTGAGTTTTCGGACTCTCGTCAGAGATAAAAAGGCATCGACGAAAGACAAACAACAGTTATAGGAGGCAGAGCCGCCGGCCCGGAGATGCCTGCGCAGGGCGATGTCTGCCGGTGCCAAATCGATAAATCGATTGACTGAATTCTCACCCAAGGCCCAAGCTTCAATCAATTCTCGACCTGTCTTGTTGCCGGCGTGGGCGATTATCCTGACAGCTGTGATCGGGCGTCGGCATAGATCGACCTGGGCAGCCACCTCCAGACTGACGGCACTGGTAGTCGATTGGTCCCTGCCTCCTATGACTGTTGCTTGTCTTCCGTTGACGCCTACTATCTCTGACGATGGCCTCCGGCAAGAGTCCGAAAGCTCAGCTAAATAAAATTATGATTCCGGTGATCGAAACACCTTCTCCTCTATCTACATATATACCTGGGATGCGAATATTTGCCTCAATTCGTGAGTAATCACTATTTTCTAACTTGTACACTACTTTACCGAGCTGAAGGTGTAGAAACTCGCGGAAGATCCAAAGAGTTTTAGCGCCTCTTTGTCGCCCCCCACCCTTCTGAGATTCTGAATTGGGCAGGAGTTTCCTTGGTATGGTCTTGGATACAACAAGCCGTAGGTTGTTTTCATACGGTAACCGTGAGAAGGGGTTTTTTAAGTTGATAAAACTGATTTGCCAGAAAAGGATTTTGTGAAAATATGAAAAAAGTCGTAAAATTTTTATTGAAATAATTTAATACAGTGGCTATAGGCCGACGGCGTTGGGCGCGTAAATCGAAAAAAGGCACAAAAAACAGGTC